AAATATGTGCTTCCAGCTTAAATGCTGGCACGATTCATTGCTCATTCTGATGTGAGAGGGCTAGGTTGGTTTTTGACACCCCCACATCAGCTTGTCAGCTGGGAAGGGGGGGGGAACAAAAAAATCAAGGGATGGTCATGAATGCAATCTTTGCCATGTTTGAGGGGTCCTTGGTGCTTTGTCTGAATTTCCTTGTTTCCTTGCAGACGTTTCACGGCCCAGCTAGGTAACATCATCAGTGACGGAAGAGAGTGGGGTTTGTTCTCTGTTTATATATACTAGCTTGTTCTTGCAGTGTTGGTGGGAATGTTCTTAGTGCTTCCTTGATTAGGCTGTTGCTTAGTGTCTGATTGTTTATCTGAATCGGTAGTTCCTTGATTGGGGTGTTGTTTACTGTTTGATTGTTGGTCTAAGTGTTAATCTAGGTGTTAAACTCTGCTTACCGGGGTGTTGGTTGGTGACAAGAAGGTGTTTTTGTTTCCCGTGTAGCTTTTTAACGGTCTGTTTTGAATGGTGTATAAATGAATGGCATGTAAATATAAACAGAGAGCAAACCCCACACTCCCTCCTGGCCTTGATGATGTTACCAAGTTGGGCCATGAAACATCTGCAACAAAACAATCAAATTCAGAGGGCACCAAGAACGTGTAATCATCATCATCATCATCATCATCATCATCAAAAACTGGTGGGATCATAAAATAGAGAAAGTCATAGAAAATGATAAAATTAAACTGCTCTAGGACTTCAGAATTCAAACAGACAAGCACCTGCAACATAACACCCCAGACTTAACAATTGTCGATAAGAAAGACAAAAAAGTCTGGATAGTGGACGTGGCAGTGCCTGGAGACAGCAGAATAGAGGAGAAAGAACTGGAGAAGATAACAAAATACAAAGACCTACAAATAGAAATAGAAAGACTGTGGCAAAAGCAAGCAAGGGTAGTACCAATAGTCATAGGCGCCTTGGGTGCAATCCCAAAACAATTGGAGCACCACTTGAACACCATTGGCATTGACAAATTCGCTATTAGTCAATTGCAAAAGGCGGCTTTACTAGGAACTGCTTCCATCCTGCGACGATACCTGTAATACCATCAAACATTCACATCTGCCTATCCCAGGTCCTGGATAAGGACTCGATAGGTAGACAAAATGCCAAATCCAGTCTGAACATCTGGCTGACTGTGCGATGATCCATAATATAATAATAATAATAATAAAGTTGGAAGGGACCTTGGAGGCCATCTAGTCCAACCCCCTGCTCAGGCAGGAAACCCTGTAACATTTCAGACAAATGGCTGTCCAGTCTCTTCTTAAAAGCTTCCAGTGTTGGAGCATTCACCGCTTCTGGAGGCAGGTTGTTCCACTGGTTAATTGTTCTAACTGTCAGGAAATTTCTCCTTAGTTCTAGGTTGCTTCTCTCCTTGGTTAGTTTGCATCCGTTGCTTCTTGTCCTGCCTTCAGGTGCTTTGGAGAATAGAATAGAATAGAATAGAATAGAATAGAATAGAATAGAATAGAATAGAATAGAATATAGAATGGAATGTTATAGAATAGAATAGAATAGAATAGAATAGAATAGAATAGAATAGAATAGAATAGAATAGAATAGAATATAGAATGGAATGTTATAGAATAGAATAGAATAGAATAGAATAGAATAGGAGTCTTCTGGTCTAGTCTTCTAGTCTTTCTCTTTCGTTTTCAGTGTCACTCTGTCCATTTCTGCAGAGTTTAAAATTTTCTTAATTATCTCTTCCTGGTATTTCTTCATCTTTCCAATGTTGAGCAAATACAATTCTCGCTGCAGTGAACACACGTAACATTAAATACACACATTTCTTCTCCTAATTGCCTACAGTTCTACCTAACAGAAATAATTCTGGCTTAACATCTACGTGAGGGGGAAAACGTACTTTCAAAACCTTTGTCAAGGGCCGGTTGATGGTTCAAAAGATGCGTCCCAGCTACAAAATTGCCTCCATTCTAGAGCAATATCTGTGGCTCGGTGTATCGTGATGGACGCTCTTAAGCGTGCAGTGATTTTATTCTCGCAAGCCACGATGTGGGGGAGGTGTGACTTAAGGCGCGCTGGCTGTTATTACAGGTGGCGGTTTCTAATCTAACAGTCGCATTTATTTTTAGAAGATTTAATAAGCCTTCAGTTGAAGCGAGTTTTGCTTCAGAAAGCAGGAGGGGAGAGGTCAACTGAGGCACCTGGCAGCAGCCACAAGACCTTGGCTGTTTTCCTTGAGAAGCCTAAGTAAGATCAGACTCCATGCATCCTTGGAAGGGAGACCACCAGGTGATAAGCAGTTAGGGCATAGGTACTCCTTGATTTGGTTACCATCACAAATCGGGGGAGAGGTCAGCTGAGGCACCTGGCAGCAGCCATAAGACCTTGGCTGTTTTCCTTGAGAAGCCTAAGCAAGTTCAGACTCCATGCATCCTTGGAAGGGAGACCACCAGGTGATAAGCAGTTAGGGCTGATTTGCTTACCATCACAAATCGGGAGCAGAATTTCCTTTGCGAACCAAGGCAGCTATTAAGTGAGCCCGATACGACCACCTTTTTTGTGCCACAGTTGTTAAGCGTATCTCTGCAGTTGTTAAATGAATCACATGGTTGTTAAATGAATCTAGTCCCCCCCCCCGACTTTGCTTGTTACAAACTGGCTGGTCTCAAATGGTGATTGTGCGATCCGCCAGGACACTGCAACATCATAAATACATGTTGGTTGCCAAGAGCACAAATTTGGACTACGAGGATGCTGTGATGGCTGTAAGTGTGGAGCCCTTTTTTTTCAGGCCTGTTATATCTTCAGAAGATTAGTAAGTAAATAGTAGGGCTACTTGCATAGGGAAATCAGGAAAAAAAATTGCAAAAGAAGTGAATTTGGAGTGAATTTCAGCTAGGGTTGATCATGCCACAGATACTAGATTAGAAGTTCTATTTGACTTGTAGGAATTTTTTAAGATTTTGAAGAAAATACAGCCGGAGTAGTTGAGATCAGACACTTAAAAGTTAGAACATAAGGTAAAGTAGCCCTCAACTTACCATCCTTTATTTAGTGATAATTTGAAGTTGCGACGCCACTGAGAAAATGGACTTAGAACCGTTTTTCACACTTAATGGCCGTTGCAGCCTCCCCATGGTCACATGATCAAAAGTCACACACTTGCAGCTGGCTCATATTTATGACGGTTGCAGTGTCCCTGGGGGTCCTGTGATCCTCTTTGGTGACCTTCTGACAAGAAAAGTCAAGGGAGGAAGCCAGAGTCACTTAACAACTCTGTTACTCACTGAAGAACTGCAGTGATTCATTTTAACAGCCGGGGCGAGAAAGGTAAAAACAAAACAAAATGGGGCAAAACTCATTTAGCAACCATCTTGCTTAGCTAGGGAAATGTTGGGCTCAATTGTGGTCGTAAGAGGATTCTCAATCATCCAGGTAATAATAATAATAATAGTAATAATAATAATAACAACAACACCCCAGACTTAACAATTGTCGATAAGAAAGACAAAAAAGTCTGGATAGTGGACGTGGCAGTGCCTGGAGATAGCAGAATAGAAGAGAAAGAACTGGAGAAGATAACAAAATACAAAGACCTACAAATAGAAATAGAAAGACTGTGGCAAAAGCAAGCAAGGGTAGTACCAATAGTAATAGGCTCCTTGGGTGCAATCCCAAAACAACTGGAGCACCACTTGAACACCATTGGCATTGACAAATTCGCTATTAGTCAATTGCAAAAGGCGGCCTTATTAGGAACTGCTTCCATCCTGCGACGATATCTGTAATACCATCAAACATCCACATCTGCCTATCCCAGGTCCTGGGTAAGGACTCGATAGGTAGACAAAATGCCAAATCCAGTCTGAACATCTGGCTGACTGTGCGATGATTGATAATAATAATAATAATAATAAAAGTTGGAAGGGACCTTGGAGGTCATCGAGTCCAACCCCCTGCTCAGGCAGGAAGCCCTATACCAGGGGTAGGCAACCTTGGCTCTTTTATGACTTGTGGACTTTAACTCCCAGAATTCCTGAGGCAGCATGGCTCAGCTTGGAAACCTCTCCCTTTTCCCTCAGCATGGCTGGCTCAGGAATTCTGGGAGTTGAACTCCACGAGTCATAAAACAGCCCAGGTTGCCTACCCTTGATCTATTTATCTGTCTGTCTGTCTATCTATCTCATTTAGATCAGGGGTAGGCAACCTTGGCTCTTTTATGACTCATGAACTTCAACTCCCAGAATTCCTGAGCCAGCATGGCTTAGCTTGGAAACCTTTCCCTTTCCCTTCAGCATGGCTGGCTCAGGAATTCTGGGAGTTGAAGTCCACAAGTTATAAAAGGCAAGTTTGAAGACCCCTGCTCTTAATCTTCATCCTAGGATAGGGGTAGGCAACTTGGCTCTTTTATGACTCGTGGACTTCAACTCCCAGAATTCCTGAGCCAGCATGGCTCAGCTTGGAAACTTCTCCCTTTCCCCTCAGCATGGCCGGCTCAGGAATTCTGGGAGTTGAAGTCCACCAGTTATAAACGAGCCAAGGTTGCCTACCCCTGCCCTATACCATTCTAGTCAAATGGCTGTCTAGTCTCTTCTTAAAAACTTCCAGTCTTGGAGCCTTCACCGCTTCTGGAGGCAGGTTTTCCCTTGAAGACCTTTCGCTTCTGATCCAAGAAGCTTTCTTCAGTTCTGACTGAATGGTGGAGGATGGAAGGACCTATATCCCTTGCAATCATCTGGTCGTTAGGGTCGTTGAGGCCACTGGGAGGTGTTTATCTGCGCCCGCAGGGTCCCCTGAATGGTGCAAATGGGTGTGGAACTGCTGAAAGGACTACTATACAACTCTAATAATCCTAATACATCGATAATAAATAAATAAATAACAAGGAGGTGGGAGTCTGCGAAGCCAGCCCCTCAACTTATCTAATATCTCTGCTGTTTTTGTTCCTCTTTCTCCTCTCCCCTCCCCCGTGGCCACAGGTCCCCCACAGTTCGTCAAGCACCCCGTGGACCAGATCGGGGTGTCGGGAGGCGTAGCGTCCTTCGTGTGCCAAGCGACGGGAGACCCCAAGCCCCGGGTCACCTGGAACAAGAAGGGAAAGAAAGTGAACTCGCAGAGGTTTGAGGTAAGGTAACAGAGTCGTAGAATAATAGGCTTGGAAGGGTTCTTAAGAGGTCTTCTAGTCCAACCCCCTTGTTGAAGCAGGAGACCACCCTATACCATTCCAGACAAATAACAGAATAACCGAGCTGGAAGGGACCTTGGAGGTCTTCTAGTCCAACCCCCTTGCTGAAACAGGAGATCCTATACTAGGGGTAAGTGACCTTGGCTCTTTTATGACTTGTGGACTTCAACTCCCAGAATTCCTGAGCCAGCATGGCTCAGCTTGGAAACCTCTCCCTTTCCCCTCGGCGTGGCGGCTGAGGAATTCTGGGAGTTGAAGTCCACGAGTCATAAAAGAGCCAAGGTTGCCTACCCCTGTCCTAACCTCATCCCTCAGGACAGGGAACTAATAATAAATAAAAATACATAAAAATGTAAACTTAAATGTGCCTGGCTGAGGAATTCTGGGAGTGGAAGTCAATAAGCAGGGGTCTTCAACCATGGCCCTTTTATGACTTGTGGACTTCAACTCCCAGAATTCCTCAGCCAGGCACATTTAAGTTTACATTTTTATCATCATCCAGAAAGGAAATAACACAAGATAGTCAGGCAGATCCTGAGGTAAATCAAACAGTGTACAGAACACACAGAGGATAAAAGGCGGGAAAAAGGGAAACGCCCCCTTCATACCCACAACAACCAATCAGAGTGTAGATTGCCTCCTGCATGAGTCAGCCCTTTCTAATTCAGGGGTCACAAACGTTATTGGGAAGCTAGTCTGTTGCAAAGATTGTGGGGGTTTTTATGCAGACGCACAGATCCCTATCTGGGAAACTAGCTGCATGCAAGGAGGGATGGGTAAATAGACACACAAACAGACATCCCTGGGAAGTTGGCCTGTTGCAAAGATTGAGGTGGTTTTTATACACACATACACAAACATATGTTCTTGGGAAGCTGATCTGTTGCAAAGATTGTGGGTTTTTTTATGCAGACGCACAGACACATATCTGGGAAACTAGCTGCATGCAAGGAAGGATGGGTAAATAGACATACAAACACACACGTCCCTGGGAAGTTGGCCTGTTGCAAAGATTGTGGGTTTGTTTATGCCAGTGGTTCTCAACCTTTCTAATGCCGCGACCCCATAATACAGTTCCCCATGTTGTCGTGACTCCCAATCACTTATACATCACCATGTGCCAGGGGCATGGCCAAAGAAAAGGGGAAAAAATGGTGGACAGCCTTGTTTGGCGACCCCCATGAAATGGTCATTCGACCCCAAATGGGGTCCCGACCCACAGGTTGAGAACCACTGGTTTATGCAGACGCACAGTCCCACATCTGGGAAACTAGCTGCATGCAAGGAGGGATGGATAAATAGACACACATACACACATTCCTGGGAAGCTGATCCATTGCAAAGATTGTGGGTTTTTGTTTTTTTTTTATGCAGACGCACAGACACATATCTGGGAAATTAGCTTCTTGCAAGGAGGGATGGGTAAATAGATGCACAAACACACCTTTGCAAAGATTGTTGCAAAGATACAGAGAGGGAGAGGGAGGGGGGAGAGAGAGGGAGGGAGAGAGGGAGAGAGAGAGGGAGGGGGAGGGAGAGAGGGGGGGAGAGAGAGAGAGACCCAGGACAATGGATGAATCTCCTCTTTAATTGAATGGAATTAATTCCATTAATTAATTCCTTCTTCTCTCTCCGATCCAGACCATCGAATTTGATGAAGGCGCTGGAGCAGTCTTGAGGATACAGCCACTTCGGACACCTCGAGATGAAAACATTTACGAATGCGTTGCCCAGAACTCTGTGGCGGAGATCACGGTCAACGCCAAACTGACTGTTCTCAGAGGTAAAACAAAAAACAAAAACAAAAAACGTTGAATGATAAGAATGTTTTTGGCGGTTGTCCTTCGGAGATTGAAAACTTTGCATCCGAATCTGAAATTACTTCAAAATTCAAATTATCAGACCCAGCGGAGCTGCTGATGTTTAAAGCCAACCTAATCAGGACTGGTGCGAAGAGGTTTTTACCCAAAACTAGCTGTGGTATACATCAGAGTCAATATTTCCGTGATTGCAGCTCAGAATGGGGTATGGTAGGCTTGTATTTCGATGTCGGTTGGTCTGGGTTTGGAATCCACTTTAAAAGTTGTAATTTGCCATTATGATCCGCTCCTTCCCTTTTCTGATCCAGGGGAAAGGTAGAATAGTAAATTTGCGCAGATGAATTTTATACCAAATTGCTGCCATCAGATACTCACCAAGATATAACAAGGGCTGTCTGCATTTATTGCCGTGTTTCTCCAGCTGGGCCGCTTTAAGATATCCCAAAGTTGGAAGGGATTTTGAAAATCATAAAATCATAGACTACTAGGTTCTCTCCTTCTTCTCTGCCCCCACGATTTTTGGCGCTCCTTGTACCAGCGCGTGTGAAGGCAGGATAGGTTTGGATTGCCTGATCCCACGGTGATCGTGCCGTTTTTGAGTCTTTTTCCACGGACGCCCTCCTGCTTTATGCAAAAAACGAGCGTGCGTGTCGATACTTCCCACTATTGTGCCCAGAAGGTGCAATGAGGCTACGTAAAGATCTGTATATCTGTGGAAGGGTTGCAATCTGGGATTCGAAGCGTCATCGCTCTCACACGCCGCCTGCCTCTCCAGCCACCTCCTACACCTGACGTTCCAGCACACGGGGGCTTCCCGGTTCCCCGCGTTCACTAATCATTTCAGATGGCAGAAGGAGGAGAAACACTGCATAAACAGTGGGGATAAAACCTCATATATTTGTTTTGAGATCCCTGGTTTCTTTGCCCATACTTCGCCATTCTTATTTTATAAATAATTCAAAAGGGCGAATATATCTAATACTCTTTCCTCTTCCAGTTTTCTGCACAACAACAGGCCTGTGAGGTAGGCTGGGCTGAGAGAGAGGGACTTTGATAAGGCGGAGCTAGAATTCGCCATCTCCTGGTCATTAGCCCAAAGTCATCAACTGTTATTTGAGGCTTTAGGCAGGACTAGAACTTAACATCTCCTGGTGATTGGCCCAAAGTCACCCAGGGCCTAAAATGGGACATCATCATCATCATCATCATCATAGAATAGAGGCATGGGAAGACAGAGCACTACATGGCCAGTACATTAAAAAAACAGCTGGGAAAGCAGATAAAAAAAAGGCCTGGCAATGACTAAGAGCAGGAAAATTGAAGAAAGAGACTGAGGGACTAATTTTGGCTGCACAAGACCAAGCTTTTAAGGACAAATGCATATAAAGTCACAACTGAGAAGACAGCAACAGACAGTAAGTGCCGCCTATGCAAAGAAGCTGAAGAAACAGTGGACCACTTGGTAAGCTGTTGCAAGAAGATTGCACAGACTGACTACAAGCAGCGGCATGACAAAGTAGCAACAATGGTGCATTGGAAGATCTGCAAAAAATATCATTTGCCTGTAAGCAAAAACTGGTGGGATCATAAAATAGAGAAAGTCATAGAAAATGATAAAATTAAACTGCTCTGGGACTTCAGAATTCAAACAGACAAGCACCTGCAACATAACACCCCAGACTTAACAATTGTCGATAAGAAAGACAAAAAAGTCTGAATAGTGGACGTGGCAGTGCCTGGAGATAGCAGAATAGACGAGAAAGAACTGGAGAAGATAACAAAATACAAAGACCTACAAATAGAAATAGAAAGACTGTGGCAAAAGCAAGCAAGGGTAGTACCAATAGTAATAGGTGCCTTGGGTGCAATCCCAAAACAACTGGAGCACCACTTGAACACCATTGGCATTGACAAATTCGCCATTAGTCAATTGCAAAAGGCGGCCTTACTAGGAACTGCTTCCATCCTGCGACGATATCTGTAATACCGTCAAACATCCACATCTGCCTATCCCATGTCCTTGGGAAGGACTTGATAGGTAGACAAAAATGCCAAATCCAGTCTGAACATCTGGCTGACTGTGCGATGATCAATAATAATAATAAGAAGAATAAGAAGAAGAGGAAGAGGAAGAAGAAGAAGAAGTTGGAAGGGACCTTGGAAGTCATCTAGTCCAGCCCCCTGCTCAGGCAGGAAACCCTATAACATTTCGGACAAATGGCTATCCAGTCTCTTCTTTAAAACTTCCAGTGTTGGAGCATTCACAGCTTCTGGAGGCAGGTTGTTCCACTGGTTAATTGTTCTAACTGTCAGGAAGTTTCTCCTTAGTTCTAGGTTGCTTCTCTGCTTGATTAATTTCCATCCATTGCTTCTTGTCCTGCGTTCAGGCACTTTGGAAAATAGCTTGACTCTCTCTTCTTTGGGGCAGCCCCTGAGATACTGGAACATGGCTATCATGTCCCCCCCTCGTCCTTCTCTTTGTTAAGCAAGACATCCCCAATTCCAGCAACCGTTCCTTATATGTTTTAGCCTCCAGTCCCCTGATCATCTTTGTTGCTCTTCTCTGTACTCTTTCTAGAGTCTCAACATCTTTTTTACATCGGGGTGACCGAAACGGGATGCAGTATTCCAAGGCATTGTAAAGTGGTATTAACACTTCACGTGATCTTGATTCTTGAACTCACCCTCTTTGGTGATTGGCCCAAAGTCACTCAGTTGCTTTTATGGGGATCCCAGGAGACTGCAATTGTCATAAATATGAGCCAGTGGCCCAGCGTTTGAATTTTGATCACGCAACCATGGGGGTGCTGCAACGGTCATAAGTGTGAAAAATGGTCATAAGTCTCTTTTTTCAGTGCCGGCCACTAAACCAAAGGTTATAAGTCGAGGACTACCCGTAACAGAATTCGGCAAGTTCGAATGCAGGTCACCTCCTTTCTCCTTATGAGAAGCTCTGAGTCGTTTTCTCACATTACAGCGCCGTCCTAGACTCAGGTTTCTTTTATCTGACCTTTCAGTGGCAGTTCTTCATCCTGTTGCTCAAGAAACTTCCCTCTGCCCCCTTCCATCAAGAAATAGCCCCACAGTTACCCGGACAGTACATAAATTTAACAATCATGAAAAATGAAGAAGTAGCCGAATGCCAGACGCCATCCTTCTGAGGTCGGTAAACTGAGGACCCAGATTGTTTGGGGGGGGGGCAACAGGCTGACTCTGTAAACTGCTTAGAGAGGGCTGTAAAGCACTGTGAAGCAGTATATAAGTATTGCTAATTATCATCTATCTCAGCGGTTCTCAACCTGTGGGTCGCGACCCCATTTGGGGTCGAACGACCATTTCATGGGGGTCGCCAAACAACGCGATCCGCCATTTTTTTCCCCCTTTTCCTTAGCTGTGCTACTCCCTCTTGTTCTATTGGCTTTCGAAAGCCAATAGAATAGACTCTCTTGAACAGAGTCTAATTCTATTGGCTTTCAAAAGCCAATAGGAATTGTCCAGGCTGTCTCTGCCTTGTTGAGCCCGCCAAAAGCCCCAGTCTGCAAACGGTGCTGCAAGGGGAAAGGTCTGCAGAGCTTCCCTCCCTGTTGAGCAACTAAAAAGTAAGTAAAAGAGGGCCAGGGCTGGGGGGTGGGAGGCCGGCAGGCGCAGGGAGGGTTGCTGGCGCGTATGGGGCCCAGCAGGTGCCTTACCTGCCTTGGGCTGGGCCAGCTGGTGGCCCAGCCGGTGGTCACCCTGCGCCGCCGCTGCCGCGGCCGCCCAGGAGCGTCCGGGCCTGCCTGCCGCCGCCCCTTGCCGGCTATGCCTCAGCCGGCGCAGGGGGCGGCACCGCGCAGATGCGGTGCATGCTTATGACTGGGGTCGCCGGTATAAAAAGGTTGAGAACCACTGATCTATCTATCTATCTGTCTGTCTATCTGTCTCACAATCTATCTCTACCGTATCTATCATCCAACCATCCATCTATCCATCCATCTATCACTAGTTATCTCTCTCCCCCTCCATCCATCTGTCTGTCTGTTTATATCTATCTATCTATCTATCTATCTATCTATCTATCTATCTATCTATCTATCTATTTACCTACCTACCTTCCTACCTATCTCAACAGTGTATATCATCCATCCATCCATCCCTGCAGTTATCTACCTACCTACCTACTACCTACCTATCTCAACAGTGTATATCATCCATCCATCCCTACAGTTATCTATCTATCTATCTATCTATCTATCTATCTATCTATCTATCTATCTATCTATCTATCTATCTATCTATCTGTCTCTATCTATCTATCTGTCTGTCTGTCTAGCTATCTATGTAAATCTATCATCTCTCTCTCTCTCTCTCTCTCTCCCTCTCCCCTACAATATCTGTCTACCACTGTCTATCTGTCTACATTCCCCCTCCCTCTTTCTCTCTTTCTCGTTCTCTGCACAGTGGTTACAATGCAGTATTGCAGGTTAATTCCTCCGACTGTCAGGAGTTCGATCTTGACTGGTTCAAAATTGACTCAGCCTTCTATCCTTCCGAGGCCGGTAAAATGACGACCCAGATTGTTGGGGGGGGGGGGCAAGAGGCTGACTCTGTAAACCGCTTAGAGAGGGCTGTGAAGCACCATGAAGCGGTCTATAAGTCTCAGCACTAGTACTAGTGCCGTCACAAAAGCAATCGCAGCCGTGTCGAACCCGGCAGGTGTGCTGTGGATGTACCCAGAGGCACAAGGGAAGCAGGTGTTTCCTAAGCAGATAGGTATTGATGCAGAAGGAGAGACAGAGATGAAAAGAGAGGAGGGGAGTCCCACAATAACCACACTTTGACAAGCCCAGAATCGGCACGCAAGCCAGATGGCGCGCCTAGTTTTATCCACCGAGGGATCCCGGCGAGCGTGCAGGGCTGGCTTGTTGCCGCTCCGTTGGTGTTGGCAAACAGGCGAGTGTCAGCCAAGCAGGGACGCTTGACAAGA